TCTCCCAATCCGTGGGCTTTCTATTGATCTTGCTAGCTATCCAGTAGATGGAAAGAAATAATTAAAATTAAATCAGAATTAAATGAATTAGAATCCAAAAAAACCATAGAAAGAATTAACAAAACAAATATTTGGTTCTTTGAAAAAATTAACAAAATTGACAGACCCTTAGCAAATCTTATCAGAAAAAGAAGAGAACACACCCAAATAAATAAACTCAGAGAATGGAAACATCACCACAGAAACAACCAAGATTCAGAACATTATAAGGGAATACTTCTCAAAACTTTATGCTAATAAGTTTGAGAACTTGGCAGAAATGGACCTTTTCCTAGCAAATATTGACATGCCAAAACTAAACCAAGATGAGTTAAACCATCTTAACAGGCCCATATCAAGCATTGAAATAGAAACAGCAAATAAGAGACCTCCCATCTAAGTAAAGCCCAGGACCAGATGGATTTACAGCAGAATTCTACAATGCCTTCAAAGCAGAGCTCACAGCAATACTCCTCCAACTCTTCAATGAAATTGAAAGAGAAACTTCACTACCAAACTTATTCAACGAAGTCATCATAACCCTCATCCCAAAACCAGGCAGGGACTCATCAAAGAGAGAGAACTATAGACCCATTTCTTTGATGAACATTGATGCAAAACTTCTCAACAAAATATTGGCCAGTCGACTTCAACAATTCATCCAAAAAATCATACACCCCCGCCTGCAAGTTATTGTATAGTTTATTTTAACAGTATCTTTTAAAGATCAGAATGTGTATATTTGATTAACTCTATTTGAACTTGTATGGATTGTATTCTTGATTTTTAATCCAAAAGTTCTTTGCCTACTCTCAACTTACTGAAGTTTTCTTTTCTTTCTTTCTTTTCTTTTTGCATTGCTAGGGTTTGAACTCAGGGCCTTGCTAGGCAGGTATTCCATGCTTCCACCTTTTTTTTTTTTTTTTTTTTTTTTTTTGCTTTAATTGTTTTTTAGATAGGGTGTTGAATTTTTGCCCATAGTAGCTTCAGGTCATGTTCTTCCTACCTGTGCTTTCAATGTAGCTGGGATTACAATGTGAGCTACAATGCCTGCCTTTATTGTTAATTGAGGCTTCGTCTTCCTTACATTTTTCCCTTGGCTGTCTGCAAATCCTAGTCCTTTCGAGCTCTTCCTCTTGAATTTCTGAGATTACAGGTGTGTGCCACTACACCCAGCTCCAGATTTTAGATTTTCCATTTATGTTAATTTTCTATTTTGACTTGTTGTTTTTGGTATATTGCAAATTCATTATAGTTCATTTATCTTACAGTTTTTACTGTGAGATGGAGATGCTATTTGATCAGTGTACCTTGAATAGTTGTGTTGAAATACCATGCTGGCCCATAAATTTGTATAATTATTATATGTTAACTAAAAGAAAAGTGAAGTTTAATACTTTTACTAGGAAATATTTGTAAGCAGACAGAAAATTGGAAAATAGTACATACACTACTAATAGACTCTTTTAAGTCATTTTTCCGAAGTGGTGGCATCTGATAAGGATGAAGCACATGGTAAGAATTAGACCACTGATTGTGCTGTATTAACACAGGAGAGAAGAGATTTCTGTTCATTAAGTCTTCCAGTCTGTGGTACTCTGTGATAACACTCTGATCAGACTAAGACATATATGCTGACTTTAGTCTTCTAAGATGTGTTGAGACCAAAATGCTCGAAGCTACAGAGGCTGATCAGTCTAAAAGTCTAGTTTAGGAGTTGTTTATGGAGAAACTTCACTGACATGGTTAGAATGAAGCAGATTTTAAGAAAAGCAAAAAGACTTATTTGTGACCTCTAATAATCTATTTCTTTGCTCACAGCTATTCTCTCTTCACAGGAGTGTGAGCTGGACCCATGCTGTGAAGGAAGTACTTGTAAGCTGAAATCATTTGCTGAATGTGCCTATGGTGATTGTTGTAAAGACTGCAGGGTAAGGAATTCCTTCCTATTAGGAAAAAAAAAGAATAGAAAGAGAAAACTCGATGAACTTTGTGATCTTTCATTAGGATTTATGCACCTGGGTCCAGGATTTGTGAAGGTTTCGATCTCTTGTATGTTCATTCTCACTTGCTGGTTTCTTGCAGTTTCATTAAAATGGAGTAATGACTGGGTGGTGGTGGCGGCGGTGGTGGTGGTGGTGATGGTGTGTGGATCAAAAGGGTGGGTCTGTACTTTCGATATTTAAGACTGTGTGTGTGTGTGTGTGTGTGTGTGTGTGTGTGTGTGTGTGTGTGTGTGCGCGCTCCTCTCCACCCATTCTGAGGAAGCTTAATTTCATAGGTTAATGCAGGTAGTAAGCCAGGGGTATTTGTTAAGTTCTAATGAAGATCAGTCATCAATACTGCTCTGATTTTTTTTTTTTTTTTTGATGAATATAGGATCCAAGGTATATTTTAGTGCTCTAGGAAGACCTTCTTTTACCAGGTGCTAGTAGAAAGGAGATAGAGAGGATAGAACCACTGGAATAATGTTGGTATTTGGTTATATGTGGTAGCTGGCTTTATGAAAGAAGTTAATAGGAAGGTGGAGAGTAAGGTAAACAGAAGAAAATTAGTTAATATTGTATAGTTAGGGATCGAGGAGGTAAAGTCAGGAAAGATTAGTAGATATATAGACATACATACATAACAAAGCCAGTGATCATGGAGAAGAAAAGAAAAAAAATTAACATGAAAACCAAACATAGAAAGCAAAAAATGAAAAACAAATAAGAAGAAGTAATGTTCAACTAATGTAGTTAGCAGGTAATGGGGAAGATTTAGCAAAGGAAAAGCAGAAGTAGGAGAGATGAGTAAGAGGAGAGTTCTACTTCTTGATATAAGGAGGCTATAGAAGGGGAATGTTATGAGAAGGAGGTGAAATTATGATCCAAAGAGAATACTAAAAGAGATAATGGGCTTCAGATAGCATACTTTTAAATAAAAGGAAGAGGGAGAAGAAAAATTCAAGATGAAGTGTTAGAATATAGGAATTATAAAGTAAATGGTGTTGGTCTGATTTACAGAAGAGAATAACCATATAGTTAGATAAATATAACACTCAAACACTTGAATCAATATAAGAACAAAGACAAACAGGCTTATATTCAACATGAATTTATTTTTCTTGTTTGCCTCAATATATGTATGTGTAAATGTATACATTTAAAAAATAACATAAGTATAAATATATATTCATAAGCAAAAATATATTTTCCTTGCATATATATAAATATATTAATATATAAACTTATCTGTAGATTGCAAAAGGCTGTTTTATGTTTAGGCCTTCCCTCAGAAGGTCTTACATGGGACAAGGGCCTTCAGAGTTCAAGCTGATGGCTGATGTGTCTCTTTTTGATTTAGTAGGAAGTCCCAAGGCTGCTTAGCTCCAAGAGGTGGAATCCTGCCTTTATCTAATTGTGGGTTGTGCTGCACTTGTTTGAACTTCCATTATCTCTGTCTCCCTGTGCAATGATGCACTGGGCTCCTGCAGCCTCTGGCTTCCTGGCTGTCTGCCTTCTCAAATTTTAAATTTTTGCTCTTCCCTGCTAACTGTTTCGCCCTCCCTTCCCATACCTCTTATAACTGACTTAACCCCGAGTTCTATGGTAAAGTGACTTGTGGGTTGTTAAGCTGTGACTGCTTCTTAACACTGTACTCTCAGAGAAGCTTTCTCAATATGATAACTCTGCATTCTCTAGGAGACATTCAAATTTCTTCCAATTAATTTATATTAGAGGAATTATTGGGCTAGAATATGCATCTTGAAAGTTTTGATCTGTGTTTTGTATGTCTTCCACAAGTTTGCTAGTCTTTGCTAATGTCAACAGTGTTAATAACCAGTTGCTCTAAGGGATAGCATTGGTTACTAGCAAGCACTATAATCTGAGTTGGTGTAATAGGGTACAGTATTCATTTGTTCCTATTTACTCTGCATTTTTTAGTTTGCTTTTTATTTTCATTTGTCATGTTTATAATTGCTCATTATTGGCCCTTGTTTATTTTTCTCTTGGGTTATTATGTCTTTTATTGTTAGAACTCTTCAAATGTGACTAATTGGTGGAAATGTTTCTGATCAGGAATATAATTTGAATCTTCTTACCCTAGTTCCTTCCAGGAGGCTCTTTGTGCCGGGGAAAATCCAGTGAATGTGATGTTCCAGAGTATTGCAATGGTTCTTCTCAGTTCTGCCAGCCAGATGTCTTTATTCAGAATGGATATCCATGCCAGAATAACAACGCCTACTGTTACGACGGAATGTGCCAGAACTACGATGCACAGTGCCAAGTCATCTTCGGTTCAAGTAAGATAGTCACAGTCAATCTCTTTGATTTTACCTATTTTTCTTCAGAGTTTTTTTTTTTTTTTAAAGGAAAACAAATGTTATTGATGGTGTCTTTTCCCTCTCCTGCTATATCTTCTTTCTTTCTTTTCCAGTGACAGTCATGATCATGAATTTTCATGCCTAAATTTGGTTGATTTTTTTTCACTCATATAAAATATATACATATATGCACATATGTAGTATTGTTTTCTAGATTTTTGTTTGTTTTTTTGCAGTAATGGGGCTTGAACTCTGGGCCTGGGCATTGTCCCTTAGCTAGCCACAGAGCCACTTCCGGTTTTCTGAGTGGTTTATTTGGAGATAAGAGTCGTAGGGACGTTCCTGCCTTGGCTGGCTTTGACCCATGATCCTCAGATCTCAGCCTCCTGAGTAGCTAGGATTACAGGCGTGAGCCACAGGTGCTCGGCTGTTTTCTACATGTTTTGTGTGAGGAATAAAATGCAGATATTCATTTATGTTATGCAAATGCTCTCCTAATAATCTCCTTCCTCTAACTACTAATATTCTTGTTTGAATCATATAAGGTTATTTGCCTGGTCTATTTTCATCCTTCACCCAGAATATTCTTGAGACCTATCAATATTAGTATATATATATCATAGTAAATTATAGTAATTGATTAGTTAAATGGACCATGATTTTGGTATACATTTTCTTAGGGATGGATATATAATGTGTGCATTTAGTTTTCCCATATTTTTCTTTTTAAAGTTTTCATTTTTTATCAAAGGTTGCCAGCCAGCTGGACTGCAATTTTCTAAAGGTTGTATCTAGTTCTATTGTAGACAAGTACATTGGTGAAAGTGCTCGTTTGATTAGAGAAATGTTCAATTATGCCAGAGACCATCAACCATGCATCATTTTTATGGATGAAATAGATGCTATTGCTGGTCGTCGGTTTTCTGAGGGTACTTCAGCTGACAGAGAGATTCAGAGAACTTTAATGGAGCTACTGAATCAAATGGATGGATTTGATACTCTGCATAGAGTTAAAATGATCATGGCTACAAACAGACCAGATACACTGGATCCTGCTTTGCTGCGTCCAGGACGATTAGATAGAAAAATACATATTGATTTACCAAACGAACAAGCAAGATTAGATATATTGAAAATCCATGCAGGTCCCATTACAAAGCATGGTGAAATAGATTATGAAGCAATTGTGAAGCTTTCAGATGGCTTTAACCGAGCAGACCTGAGAAATGTTTGTACTGAAGCAGGGATGTTTGCAATTCGCGCTGATTTAAAAAACCAACTTACTGTATGGGGCTGGGAAGGTGGCTCAGTGGTAGAGCGCTTGCCTTGCATGCATGAGGCCCTGGGCTCGATTCCTCAGCACCACATAAGCAAAAAGAAAAAAGCCAGAAGTGGCGCTATGGCTCAAGTGGTAGAGCGCTAGCCTTGAGTTGAAGAGCTGAGGGACAGCGCCCAGGCCCAGAGTTCAGGCCCCACGACTGGACCCCCCCCCAAAAAAAAAAAAACCCAAATAACCCCAACTTACTGTATAGTGTTTAGTTTGGAAATTAAACCTTTTTTCTACCCAGCTCCCCCATCCTTTGAGGCAACAAGTTTTATTATTATTTTTAATCTAACTTTTTTGTTATTTTCACTAGGTCTTTAGATATCTCTTGATAATGCTGCTTTTTTTGATTTTTTGAGGGATGAAAATTAGTTTTTCCTTCTGTTTCTGTTTTCAGCCCTGACCTATCATCCATGTACATGTTCTTTAATTCTGCATCTTCTCAGCATGGATTCATTGTAGTTTTAGAGCAGTGTTGACTGCTCGTTGTGTAATAAACATGCAACACTATCCACAACTGACCTGTGTAGCAGGTTATAGTTGCTTTTCTGCCTTTTGTTTTTTCTAGAATTAATAGTTCCTTTTTTTTTCTCAGTCAGTTAGTTTTGTGTATATTTACCACTGATTAAACGGCAAGAGGTTAGCCTCTATCCTGGTCTTGCCTTGAGGTGTTCACAGGCATCCAGTGTTCTGCTCATTTCAATCTATTTGAAGGAGTCTGAACAGAAGATCTCTTCCCCCCTCCTCCCGCCCCACATTCCTTTGGGTGTTGTCTTATGGTCTTCTGAATTTGTCAGAATTCTTCAGAGAACAGAAGCAATAGAGTATGAATGTATGTACACGTATACATACAGATATAAACACATATGCAGATACATACCTCACACTCTGAATTGACACACGTGGTTATAGAAGGCTAGTAAGTACCAGATTGCAATGTGATCAGTAGAGGTAATGGTCTCATTCTAGGCTGAGTCTAAGTGCTTTACAACCAGTAGGGCTGGTGAAATGGTTCCAGTTTGTGAGCCAGGAAGAGCTGGTGTTTCAGTTCTGTTCCAATGGCAGAAAAAAAGCTGATGCCTCAGTTTGATTGAGAGTCATTCATGAGGACAATCTGCTTTACTAACCCCACTGAATTAAAACTTAACCTCAGCCCAAATTGCCCTATAGACAGAAAGTCAGTATATGTTATTTTACATAATAAAGAGGTAAGAGAGGGAAGAAAATAAGGGCATTTTATCACAGTTATATTTGTACCAAAATAAAGAGAAATATTGGTGATAATTACAGTTCTCATTCAGTAATAGTTCATGTGGTCACCTGTCTATTTATTCCATATTCCCTTTACTGACCCTAAGTACCTCAGCTGGTTGTGATTTTTTAACCTGGTGGGGTGACTAACCCACCATTCCTGAAGGGTCTAGATGCCTAGGGGTCTTGATTTGATTGTTGCAGTTTTAGTAGTAATTTTAGCGAGTGGGACTGGAAATACTAAAACTGTTGTAAGGGCTCTCTAGTATTGCAGACATGCTGTTCTTCCCCCCATTGTAGGACAGTAGTCAAGTTTTCGCTTAGTAATCTACTAGTCAGGATCAGTTGTCTAGTCAGAGTAGTGAACTCCCTCTTTGCCTGAAATATGAAGAGCTCAACATGGTTAGATGTTTTACTTCCCAGTTCGTTGGAACCCTCCTGGCAACTTCTGGTAGAAGACTATTTCCCTTTGAAATGAAGACCTCTAACCAGCAGAGCATAAAGTTATGCAATAATAAGTATAATTTTGCTAGTGGGTTACTAGGGGTGACAGTGAGTTTTGCCAGTTACATTTCTACCCCTGGATTCCCCTGACTCTGTTTTGGGAAAATAAGCATAAATATTCAGAGAATATATATCCTTTTGAAGAACTTTACCCTAGTCCTTCAAGGTACTACCAGTGCTAGCTAGTATTTCTATCATTCATTAATGAGATAGCCACTTTGAGATCATGTGGAACAGGCTAGCTATCACAGTGAATTCCATAAGCATAGCTTCATTGCTGCTTATCATTTGTTCTGAAGTGAGTTCCTTAAACTTAAGCAAAGCTGTATGGAATATCATGGTGATGGATAAGGAATTTGGTAGATCCATAGATGCTAGTTTTGCAGGAGCTTGTATGTAGGACATTCAGCAAATCCACATCCAGAGTGTCTATTTCAATAAGAATTAACACTGGCTCTTCCTTCTTGGAAAGGGAAGAGCAAAATCTCCCTACTTCCAGGTTCTTTGGGCTAATCTCTCTAGGGAATGTTACCAATTAGGTTCTTTGCTGCCAGTGGACTTGGTATTTAGCAATGACTGTAGCAAAGTCAGCTATTTTTTCTGAGCTCATGAATAACCACTAACTCTCCCACTATGGGTACTTCGTTTATGCGCCTTTTGGGTAATGAAAGGAGTGGCTGGAGAAAGCGGCTGGCTATAGTCTACAGAATGGATCATCCTATCTGCTTGATTATTAAAACCACTGGCCACAGTAAGTAGATGGGTCTATAATTACATATCTGTTTACCTGTTCTTCCAGGCATAGCAAAGAATCAGGTACACTTGATGGATGTCCTAGAAAATAGCTATAGTGTTATAGATGTCCACTCTTGGGGGGGTGCCTGCCTAATTTGAAGAACCTTTTATAATCTCATCATCATTCTTTTCCTGCTCTATCAACTCATGGTGGAGAATTCACCTTGCAGTAATAGGTGCTGGCTAGAAGAGAAAGATCTGTGCAGTTGGAGTGAGGATTGTGGATAGTTGGGCTTCTTCATATACTTGACCTGTGCTTTTGAAGCCAGCTTGTTTCTAGTCACATGCATACCATTTCTATTTTATGATGTTGCATCTGCCAACTTCTTGGCTTAGTAGGTCAGATGACACCCAAGTTTATGAAGGGCAGCTTATGTTCAACAGTAACTTGGGGGCTCATGGATAAACATTCAGTTTCTACTAACTGCCTAGTAGCAGATCAAGAGTTGTTTCTGAAAAGAAGAGTAGTTATACAGAGCTTTGCTTTAAAATCCTAAAGGTCTGTGCTGTGATTCACCTGTCAAAAACTGTTGTGATGTTAGGAAAATGAACCCTAAGATATGTATTTAAATGTTTTTTTTTTCTTTTATGCATTTGTTTCTAATGCATTTATATGATTATTTCTTTGTTGCTTTGTATGTCCCTCCCCTACAGTATAACCTTTCCCCTTTTAAAAAAACCTTTCCTCCTTTTTAAAAAATTAAAAAAAAACTGTTGAAGGCTCCACATAGCATTCTTAGCCAAACTTCAAGTATTTGAATCATGTGGCCTAAGTGGCAGAGCATCTTACATGGCATTCTAGACCTGTTGCAGAGCCTTCTTCTCTGCTGGGTCACACCCAAAACAAGTTGTAAATGGTCCAGAGTGACACAACCAAACAAGAGAATACAGTCATACATTGGTTAATGATGATGATATATTCTGAGAAATGTTGTTTTAGGAAGTCCATCATTGTACGAGTATTATAGGTATTTTAACACAAACTAAGATGACTGTGACATCACTAGGTGATATAATCTTTTGCTTATCCTTGTATATGAGTTCCGTTGTTGAAATGCAGTTGTGTGGCACGAGTCTATATTGCCTTCAGATTTTTTTTTAATTGTGAAAATACTGTACAGAGGGGTTACAATTACATGGGCAAGATAATGAGTGCATTTCTTATCAAACATTGTAGCCTCCTCCTTTGTTTCCCCTTCCCATCCCATCCTTCCTCCATCCCCCCACCCAACCCTCCTCCCCCTCCCCCACCAAAGTTGTAAAGTTCGTTTTGGACATAATGACTTGTATGTCTCATTGTTGCAACGGGTCCACCTGTATCCCTATTTAAACGACTTGTTTTTCCCCTTACCCTCCACAAATTATACCGACATCAAATACAGTGAAAGCAGGTTGCCTTCAGATTCTAATGAGGCCATTAGGTGTTAGGTACCTTTCTGGTTGTAGAGGGCCAGAAATAACACCTCACTGGTCACCTTAGAATGAATGTCTTAATATATCTCACACTGTAGTAGTATCACGGAGATAGACAATCCCTGGATTAATTTATTACCTTCTGTCATGCAAATGTCTTCCAAAGTTTATAGTGTTTGCTCGTTCTTTCCTACTAGATCTAGTAAACTTATTTTCAGTTTAATGGACTGGTATGATTTTTAGGGGAAGTAATCAGCAATGAAGAGCCCTAAAATTAAATTAGGACCTTGGGTTGGAGTTGACATAGTCATGAACTAAAGCAGGGAAGGTGTACTGCTGACCTTGACTGCCGAAAGCACTTGCTTCTTGTTGGCCTCGCTGACAAGTGTGGGGAGATCACAGCTCAGCCATGTATTAGAGGATATATGGATTTGTCCATGTAATGAACCACAGCTGGTACAGCATCTGCAGTTTTAATCATCACCTTGGTTAAGCTTGTGATAATCCACTTTTACTCTCTAAGAACCTCTCATCTTTAGCAGATAAGTGAAATGAATGGAAATGTGGTGAGATTCACTGCTCCTGAATCTTTCCCACACTGATAGTCATACTAGTCTCTGCCATACCTCCAGAAATGTGGTATTGCTTTGGGGATACTATTTTACAAGATAGAAACACTCTAGCCGCTTCTTCCACCTGACCTTCCCACATAATCATCTTTACAGATCAAGGAACCAAAGGAGGGCTCTAGCAGTAGCTCCATAAGTGCATTACAATTCTGCATTCTGGAACTATGGAAAAAAAGCACATGTACAAGATAGGTTGGGGAATCACTGGGTCTCCCATGTGGAACCTAAAAAGGAAACTTAAAACATTATTTATTATCAAATCTTCATGAGTGCTGGGCCTCAGTGATTCTAGACCTGCTGGAAATCTCCTGTGTAATCAAAGGGACTGACTTTTTTTTATTTTTAAATTTTTACTTTTATCATTAAAAACTTGTACAACGAGTTGCCATTCTACAAAATTGTATTTATGAATACAGTGAATTTGGATCAGTGTCATTCATCCTTTTCTTTTCATCATTCTCCTCTCATCCCCCAACCCTAATCCTTTTTTTTAACCCAATGCCTAATATCTTGGTCTGATTGATTGTGTCCAAATCTTAATCTTATTTGCTGGTTTCTCCAGCAATGTACCACAGCCTGGGTAAGTTATAAGGGATAGGAATTTGTCGGTTCACAGGTCTGGAAGCTGGGACACCCAAGATCAAGGTGTTAGGATCTGGTTAGGTCTCCATGCTGTGTCATCACATGGTGGCAAGCAGAAGGACATAAGATAAACAGGAGAAAGTTTTACCCTTTTCTAATATATTAATTCTAAGAGAGAATAGGGAGAGCCCTTAGAGCCTAATCAACTCTTAAACACTTCCCCTTTTAATACTGTTACAGTGACAATTACATTTTAACATGATTTTGGGATGGAATAAACATTCAAATGTAGCAAGTACTATAACAAGGTAACAGAGTGGGCAGCTTAAACAGCAAATATTTATTTCTCCTAGACCTGGAGGTTGGGAAGCCCAAGATCAAGGTTCCTGCTCCTTTGGTTCCTGGTGAGGGCTCTCTTCCTCACTTTCCACCTGTGTCTTCATGTGGTGTTAGAACAAAGAAAAAGAAATCTCTTTTCTTCTTTTTAGCCCACTAATCTTATAAAGAGGACCCTGCTCTCATGATCTCATCTATCTCCTAAAAGGCCCATTTCAAAATTGCATCCCATTAGGGCTTAAGGCTTCAACCTAGAATTTTGGACTGCTTAACCATTCAGTACATATACATAATTCTTCTGGTGAAGGCCATTGATCCTTTAGGTATGGCTGAGATAGTGATCAATCGGATACATTTGGGGGACTGCACTATTTCCTACAGAGACTGATCTTCCCTTCATCTAAACAGTGCTGTTTCTCTAAACTATCTCAAATCAGGCCATAATCTGTTGCCTACTTTTTGCTCTATCTCCTTTTGCTTTGTTCTAGCCACCCAACCAGACAAAATGATGGAACCTTTCTAACTCCTCAAGGGGCAGTAGTAAATGCAGAATCTCTGCTTTGTGAGCCTTGGCCAATAAATTTGGCCTAATCCATTTCCCTTACACTCTTCTTTTATTGTGAAAATACCGTACAGAGGGGTTACAATTACATGAGCAAGGTAATGAGTACATTTCTTAACAAGCATTGTTGCCTCCTCCTTTGTTTCCCCTTCCCATCCCTTCCCATCCCTTATGTCTTATACATCTCATTGTTGCAATGGGTCCACCTGTATCTCTATTTAAACAATTTGTTTTTTCCCTTCCCCTCCACAAATTACACCAACATCAAATACAGTGAAAACAGTTTCCCTGCACTCTTAAGATCCATTTCCTTATCTGTGCCTTGGATTTCTGTCTATATTAATTAGAGACTCAGGTATTCCTTTTGGATAATAACGAGTCATTTTTTGAAGTACAGTGAGTGTAGCTCACCTTTAGGTATTGCTTGGACTTGAGGGTAGAATTGACTTGTATATGGCAGCTGCCTCAGGGGCGTCAGTATGGGGTTAATTTCCTCAGATGGT